CGTAAGAAGTATTAATATTTGAGGTCAGAATAGCAAAGTACTAAGAGCATAGACTTTGCATTAGTTCCTGTGGCTATTATTACAAATTAACACAAACTTGGTGACCTCAAGGCTACAGTTTAATTATGGGACCTATTGAAACTACAGTTTTTCTGTTGTAGCTGCAGGCATTAATAACTTTCAAACTCAGGAAAAAGGTTTTGAGTGTTTTTTTTTTAATACTTTAAAGATATGAAACAATGTGAAAGATTCATTTAACATGCCTTCTATTTGGATATATGTATCCCAGTAGAATTAATTTATATAGCTTAAAAACAAGTACTGCACTAATAGAGTACATGCAATTATAAATTGAATACTAAGTCATCATTTTCATATTTTTCTCTTTCTGCTGGAAATTCTAGTTCATTCTGCCATGAAAAATGAATCTTGGACAAGACATCTAAGAAGATAAACATTAATTCAGTCTTATAAAGAACATCTGTCTTGTTCTGTTAGAGAAAGTAACTATTATATCTACAAGAATTGTTACCAAGGCTATCGCCCGGGAATCATAACCCAGGCCCAACCCTCCCAGGGCATGCACGTGTTCTAAGCCCCTTCAGTCATGTCTACCTCTTTGTGACCCCATGGACTGTAGCCCACCAGGCTCCTCTGTCCATGGGATTCTCCAGGAAAGACTACTGGAGTGTGTTGCCATGCCATCTCCCAGGGGATCTTCCCAACCTACGGAACCAACCCATATCTCTTATATCTCCTGCATTAGCAGGCAGGTTCTTTACCACTAGCACCACCTGGGAAGTCTTCTCTCCAGGTAACTTTGCAGAAAATCACAACTAACCATACCCTCTAGCTGTTCACAGCACAGAAACACGAGTCTCACTATAAGAAAACTGTTGCAAATTGGTTCAACTTCAAAAATGAGACAAATGTCACCCTGCATTTCATTACCATCTTGTATTTGTAAGACCCCTGTCTGTCTGTCCATGATGATGTGAGCCACTTCCAGCCTAGAGAGACCAGAGGACCATTCAAGGATAGAAAAGAGGTAACACTCTAGTTCCAGGAAGAACCTGCTTATTCCCACAAAACCAGTACATATGCTTCCCCCTTGTTAGCCTTATCCTTAAAATCTTGCCTTAATTGTCCCCTGGGTGAGCTGATACCTGGTACTCTGGGACTACCTAAGAGGAGGGGAATGGGGTGGGAGGGAGGTGCCGGAGGGAGGGGGCAAACACATACCTACGCCTGGTCCATGTTGTTACACAGCAAAAACCAACACAATATTGTAAAACAATCATCCTCCAATTAAAAATAATTAGTTAAAAAAAGCCTCTTGGGCAAGAAGTTGATTTGTGATTAACGTCCTATCTCTCTATTCTCTGGTCATTTAATAATGATGGTGTTGCTTCAATCTCAGCTTCAGTTCCATTTTTTTTCTTTCTTTTTTTTTCTTCATTTATTTTTATTAGTTGGAGGCTAATTACTTTATAATATTGTAGTGGTTTTTGTCATACATTGACATGAATCAGCCATGGATTTACATGTATTCCCCATCCCGATCCCCCCTCCCACCTCCCTCTCNTAAAAGTGAAGGGCTGGAAAAAAATATTCCACGCAAACGGAGACCAAAAGAAAGCAGGAGTCGCAATACTCATATCAGATAAAATAGACTTTCAAATTAAGTCTGTGAAAAGAGACAAAGATGGACACTACATAATGATCAAAGGATCAATCAAGAAGAAGATATAACAATTATAAATATATATGCACCCAACATAGGAGCACCGCAATATGTAAGGCAAACGCTAACGAGTACTATGTACTGTTTTAATTCACAATATTATACAAAGACTATAAGATATAGCATATTTAAGTAGTTTTCAATAAAACTAAGAGAAAAACAAAATCCAAAAAATGAATAAAGATACATATTTTCCTTGAAGTGCTGTGTTTTTTTTTCTTATATACAAAGAATCTGAGCTTGTAGAGGATATGACCAAGATATTTATGTTTGATGCAAAATCAGCAAAATCATGAAGCTTAGTACTTCAAACTGTACAAATTTGTCTAAGACTCCGCATTTCTATTAAGCTTACAAAATCATTTGTCAAACCAAGCATTAGTTCTCAGTCTTCAGGTTAGCTGGTAGACAATCTAATTAAATAAGTGAACACATACATAACTTTTCTGATCCCAAGAATCACAAGTTGTCATTTGCCAAATGTTAATTCTGTTCTGACATGCTAGTCTTGTAGCATAATGTCTATTATTACTCTCCTTAATGATAAGAAATAATATAAACTAACAAGAATGATATTAAGCTGTACCTTCTCTAGGATTATCAAAATGCTAAATATATATTCAGGTATGACAATCAACAAAATGTTCTTATAACCTTTCTGCTGCCCAAGCAACACTCTACAGAACATGCCTGGCAGTCACACAGCTATTTGAGTTGACCTCTGTTGCTATGGTAGAATATACAAAACCCCAATGTCACAGAGAAGATATGGTTTTCAAAGTTAGAAGTCTTAGCTGGAACATTCATTCACAGCATAGGAACTGACACTTTTTGAAAAGAAACCAAGAATCCTCTATATTACATTTCAGTCCCTCTTAAAAATGTCTAGGTCAAAATGAGAGCAATCCAAATGCATGTACTTCGAATATGTAAGTTCATTGTCCTTGTAAAATTGTCAAGTTCCTATTATCTGTTATTGCATTTCAGAGAAAAGTAGGCAGACAGCCTCTGCCTCGTTCAATTCAGAGTAAAAATCTTAACTCTAATTAGACACTCTTTGGGTGTTTAAGTCATGGTAAATTTATATTGCCTTAATCAGTAAACTATAAAAAAGACAAAAACAAGAATATTCTTCATTTTAGCACTTCATCTGTCACTTGCAGAAGGTATACCTTTTATCATTAAAGGTTTGGGTTAACGTGAACATGCAGTGAATGAATCATCATCTTAGGCTGCCCCCAATTTCCCTATAAGACGGGAGAGACTACCATTCATTACCACTCATGTTGTAAATAATTAGTCCATTTCTCTACTTTCATTTTCTCTTCTTCCACTATCTGATTCACTCTACTCAACTACCAGACTGATTCTCCAAAATATCTTTTCATTAACATAAGCAACACTCTACAGAACATGCCTGGCAGTCACACAGCTATTTGAGTTGACCTCTGTTGCTATGGTAGAATATACAAAACCCCAATGTCACAGAGAAGATATGGTTTTCAAAGTTAGAAGTCTTAGCTGGAACATTCATTCACAGCATAGGAACTGACACTTTTTGAAAAGAAACCAAGAATCCTCTATATTACATTTCAGTCCCTCTTAAAAATGTCTAGGTCAAAATGAGAGCAATCCAAATGCATGTACTTCGAATATGTAAGTTCATTGTCCTTGTAAAATTGTCAAGTTCCTATTATCTGTTATTGCATTTCAGAGAAAAGTAGGCAGACAGCCTCTGCCTCGTTCAATTCAGAGTAAAAATCTTAACTCTAATTAGACACTCTTTGGGTGTTTAAGTCATGGTAAATTTATATTGCCTTAATCAGTAAACTATAAAAAAGACAAAAACAAGAATATTCTTCATTTTAGCACTTCATCTGTCACTTGCAGAAGGTATACCTTTAATCATTAAAGGTTTGGGTTAACGTGAACATGCAGTGAATGAATCATCATCTTAGGCTGCCCCCAATTTCCCTACAAGACAGGAGAGACTACCATTCATTACCACTCATGCTGTAAATAATTAGTCCATTTCTCTACTTTCATTTTCTCTTCTTCCACTATCTGATTCACTCTACTCAACTACCAGACTGATTCTCCAAAATATCTTTTCATTAACATTATTCCTTGGCTAAACATTATTTCCTCTTACCCCTTCAGCCAAATAAAAAAATAAATACATTTAAAAAAAATCTTTAAAAAAAGATATTTCTTACTTCCTGTGTATTCTTATTACAAATAAATTTTCCATTAATCATTCATCTCTTTGGGCCAGCTCTGAATTTGTTAAATTAAATGCCATAAAGTCCTTATATTTTAGAGATGCTTATATTATCTCCAAAGGTATATTATGAACTCCTTGAAGACCGTAGCCATTTCTTAACATTTGTTTTATCTCCTCTGATAGCTAGTGCAGTGTCCTTCATATAATAAGCATATGATTAATGTCCTTAAATCAAGCAGTTTTTAAATATTTGAGAAGTAAGCAAACTGTATATGTGAGGAAACTGAGGTCAAGAATCATTAGCAACATGCCTAAAGGTAACCAGCTGTCAAAGATATAGTGTGCCTGATTATTACAGGTGTTTTCTACTCACACAAAAGTTATATAATTTTGTTAATTGGTTGTTCTAAGCCAAGCAATTTATGAAACACTGATTTTAATAAAGTATATGCATATATACTTATATATGTAATAACATATGTATTTATAATAAAAATAGATATAAACAAAATTTCTCTGCAGATAATTGGACATTTGATTCAAGAGTAACTCTAAAGAACTCAATATGCAATGTCTTATAAAATAAAAAACAATATGCAAGAATTGTGATGACAATGTTGACATTAACATTTTTACTGTACTTTGAGAAACATGATCAATATCCTAGTAAGAACCAAGTATTAAAGAGTCTCTAATGTCCTGTTAAATCTTAAGTTTTTCTGTACAGCACTGTAAAACATAAGTGTAAATCTACATTTCCCATGAAGGTGGATATCTTGCTCAATTTAATTCCCATAATATTTAAAGCATAGAGAACAATTGCAATTCTATTTTACAATGAAAGTTTTAATAAGCTGGTATGTGGAAAAAGCATAGAAATATTGTTACTAAAGAAAATGAAATTAACGAATATTTTAAAATCAAGAGTCACTTGGGTTCTTCTTAAATTTAGCTTGAGAGACATTAGATTTATCCTTTTAATGTGCTTTGTCTGTGGGCAGTCTGAAATTTGTGTTACACATTGTCACTTACCATCTTTCAGGATGGTTTCTCGCTCTGTGCCATCTATTTTCTGCCGACCAATTAGGAAACTGGTGGTGTCAGCAAAGTAGATATAACTGGTTTCTGCATGAAAATCTAAAGCACGTGGGTTTACCAGATTCTCTATGGGGATCATGTATTCATCAGCTATTTTGGTATTCAAGTCCATTCCTCTAACAATTCCTGGGCGTCCTTTCCCATAAAAGAGGAACAACTCATTCTTTGGTCCTGCAGAAGAAAGATTACAAACATAAACAACTGATGCTGCCTAATCTTCTTTACAATGCATAATGCCACTGTTTAATTAACTGGCACAATTAGTGGCTTTTAAATTCAATACCAAAAATTAAACCCTAAAATATGCCAAATGTATCTTGATGCAAGAAGGCCAGCTAATTGTATTACTTTAACTCAAACAGAAATTGCAGGTTATATTAAGTTAATTATTCTTTTGTCTGTAACTGTCTATGTAGCAAAAACATGATAAATAATTGGATAACTTGTAACTGTAAAATGGACATTTATTGAAACATCCAGCACATTTAATTTTACAACTCATTACAATCTATCTAACACATCTGTAGATACTAACTGTAGCATTCATTATGTTTGACAATGTTGAAAACTTCAGAATATTTAAAATACGCCCCCTACTCAGAATTTGCATTGCAGACTGACAAGGGAAGCAAAAATAATCACACAGTATCACATAACTTGCACTGAATATATTAGTTTGTATGAACATGTGATTTATTTCTTTAGGAAATGAAATCAAATGCCAGTTACAGCATCACTTCTTTTTCCATATCTTAATTAAAACTTTAGAGGTTAATGCTGTCTGCCAGTAACTGACATACAACACAGCCTTTATCAAAAACTAAAGAAAACAAAAATCTGTGTCTTGGATCAAGGAAGTTTTTTCTGCAGAATGAATGAACTCATTTTGACATTTATATGAAACTACATGCAAGGTTCTCCTATTGCTAGGGCACATTATACTTAGTTTAGTTATATAATTTGAAGGGAATATTTCGTATGGAAAGGAAAACATATAAAGTTTCATTAAAACTGAGGATACATATGAATATTATATTTGGATAAATATATCATAAAGGAGATTCCTATTAATGTAAAGTAACTACATTATTAAAATTTGGAGAAAAAAGAAAAACAAAGTAATTTCTCATAAACACAACACCTTCAATGCAAACTATATTATCATTTTGTATACTGTCTCTCTTCATTTCTTTCAAAATTAGTGTTAATGAATATGGTATGTTTAGTTGCTCAGTCATGTCTGACTCTTTGCGACCCCATGGACTGTAGCCCACCAGGCTCCTCTGCCCATGGGGATTATTCAGGCAAGAATATTGGAGTGGGCTGCCATGCCCTTCTCCAGGGGATCTTCCCAACCCAGGGATCGAACCCAGGTCTCCCACACTGTAGGTGGATTCTTTACCATCTGAGCCACCAGGGAAGCCCATATTAAATATATAGTGTATATACTTTTAATATTTAAAGAATAAAAATAAAACAAATCTCATGTATCTAGCACAGATCTTAAGAATATTTCCACGATGTTAAAATGCATGCATATGTCCCAAATCTATTCCCTTCCATCCCAGAGACAACCAATTTCTCTGGTTATATACAATAATATGGTTATTGTGTTTATCATGTAATTTTTAGGAGTTTTGGCATATACATTGTTTGTATTTCTCAACAGTAGATTGTTTGACTTTTGCATGTTTGAACTGCATGTGTGCTATGAGTTGATTTTATTTTTATTATATACTTGATATTCATCTCTGCTTGTTATAGTTCTTATTCATTCATTTTTACAGATATATGCCTCTGTGACTATTTTTAATTTATCTAGCTATTTTTCTAATGCACACTAGTAAGAAGAGGATACTTTTGCATTCTGTTTTTATTACTAAATCTTAGCATTAAAATGATATTCTATGTTGATCCATTATTTTAAGTCTTAACATTCCTTAAGTATAGTCAGTCTAATATATGATAATTTGTCAAATCATTCCTCAGTTGGTTTTATCTTCCTATTATAATAACACTTAGATATGCATTTTTCAACCTGGTATTTTATAAATTTTCTTAGATGATCCCTTAGTATACACTTCCAGAACTGGAATTACTGGTTGAACAATATTAACAGCCCTCTTCTTCCTCTTACAACCCCTCAGTGTTTATCTACTTTTTATTTTTTTAAACAACACCATCGTACACTATTAAAAAGTAAATTCATTTGAAAATTAACATTCCTGTGCATTTCCTACCAACACTATATGCATACTTTATTTTTTAAATGGGATCTTAAGTATGCATTTTAGCACTTAAAAAAATTTAACAATACTTTTTCCTGTCATTAAAAGATCTTCAAAACTTTCTTTCCAGTGGCAGTATCATGTTAGAGAGGCAGTGTCAATGGCAGTATATTGCTAGAGAGGCAATATAATATAGTCAGCTCCTTACCTATTGTGGGATATTTAGATGGTTTCTGCATGGTTATCATACATGCATTTACAATGGATTCCTTTAGTCAAAAGTAGATGCTAAAGGATGTTGTCAGTTTTGGGTCTTTTGTATGTATTATTAAATGTCTTTCCAATTGTGATGCCAATTTATAATATATACTATATTATATTATATATAGATTTTCTAGCTCTATTAGTAATACATAAGAACACTGGTTTCTCAATACTTATTTTTGCTAACATTTATTTCTGCTAACATATATTTATTTGTAATTGATGCTTTAATTAGTAATCGGTAGACCTCATCAGTTTAATATGTGTGTGTGTACATGTGCTTGCATATTTTAAACAAGAATGGTAACTGTTTTCCCATTGTTTTATTCAGTTTCTTTTTTTAATCATTGGGTACCTTAACTTTCTTCTAATGTATTTTCTTCTATTATAGACAATTGAAAACTAAAAATTACACTCCACAGACACTGATGTAGCCATGGCTCAAATTTTTATTGAAAATGAGACCATCTTTGGCTGCTTCTGCTGGTATTCATCTAATGGAGAAACTGAATTTTTCCACATTAATCTTCTCTTTTGTATATCAAGTGGCAAGGAAGAAGGCATCTTTTTTGCTTTGCTTAGTTTGCCAGTATACTTAATTTCTAAAGCTAATAGTTATGGTGCAAACTTCTTAATCAGCAGAACTCAGCTAAAATGGTGTTTTTCAAGTTATCATTGCCATTTGTGGCCTCCTGATGCCCTAGCCTCTGATGGTGGTAGGTGTTTCAGCTTAAGCCAGGCTAATCTTGTGGTGGCTATAATAGGAAATTCCTAAGAGTCAGTCTAGAAGCTGCTGCTTCAGGCACCTCAATGATTTTTTAAGTACCTATCTATTTGTGTTTGATCCTTTCTGCTAAAAATAGATATTATTATTTCTGTTAATTTAAATGTTAATTTAATTTACCTTGATTGAGGGCTTCCCAGGTGCACTAGTGATAAAGAATGTGCCTGCCAATTCAAGAGACAAAAAGGATGCAGTTGGATCCCTGAGTTGAGAAGATCCCTTGAAGGAGGAAATGGCAACCCACTCCAGTATTCTTGCCTGGAAAATCCCATGAACAGAGGAGCTGGGAGGGCTACAGCCCAGAGTTACAAAGAGTCAAACATGATTGAAGTGACTTTACGTGCATGCGGGTACTTTGATTGATCACTGTGTTAGAGAAAACTGAAGCTTATACAACTCTGCTCTTAAATTTTTCCTCCAAGCATGTTTGAGTATAAAGTTGAGTCAGTACTCAGGATGTACTAGCTTGAGTTTGGAATGTGGAAATGAAGCCACCTTTTGCCACTTCTGCTGATGTAGATACACCTGGTGGTGGAGAAACAATTTTTCCACATCAGTCTTTTTCTTTGTGTGTATCAAGAGGCAAGGAAGAGGGTCTTTTTGTTTGGTTTGCCAGCATAACAAACATATATATGCACACCTACACATGTACATATATTTATATATGCATAAATGTGCATGAATATATTTTTCTATGACATACCATCACTTTCCAAGTGGTAACCAGAGCAGCTTAAAGGCTGGTTACATACAGACACACACACATACACACACACACACACACACACACACACACATATCTCCTATCTTGAGGCTTCTGACACAATGCCCTCAATTATTTAGAGGACTTGAACATCAGAGTTGGTGTCTCTACATTCCTAGCATTTGCTACAAAGTTAGAAATTTTAAAACAGTACAAAAATGCATATATTTTATCACAGTTAAGACTTTTGGTTTCTTAAATTAGAAGTACTTATGCTATGAATTCTAACCACTTAGATTTTAAATTATAATAAATTTAGAGGTCTCATCTCACCATATTTAGCAAGCCTATGGCAAGAAAGTAAAAGAGATGGCAGGACAGTAACCACAGAAAGAGAGCACAGGCAGGAAAAAAAGGTCATGAAAAAAGAGAGATAAATATAAAAAATGATGGTTTTTGGGAAACATTTAAAGACTGTTAGTCTCAATATGGATAGCATTTCTATGAGGGACATTAATACTATATCTGATTATGAAGACCTTAATTATACTTGTGCAAAATTTAAACTTAGCAAATGTTAAGAACAATTAAATAAACACTGTAAAAAGCAGACATCATAACCTTAAAAATTATGCTATTAAAAAAAAATTATGCTATTTGTGAAACAGACTGATAGTCTCAACATGGATACCATCTCTTTGAGGAACATTAATACTATATGTGATTATGAAAAATTAAGAACAGTGAAATTTTTGGAATATATCAGAAATAAAACAAAGGTCGAGCTACTAGAAAGCTTTTCAACAGAATTATTAAAAAGATTGATACTTAATTAGTATAGCTCTTGTTATATGGAAAATGAAATAATAAAATAAATTTCACCCCCCAATGCTGGTAAGGTGACGTATTACTTTATGTGGATTTCTGTTGGACTATACAATACATCTATTATTAGAAGCAGCATCTTGGTTCAGAAAAGAGAAAATCTGGCCAACCAATGATTAAGGCTCATTGGAGCACAAACATCTTTTAGGTAATTAAGGAAAGGATTTCCTAAAAATCTTTCCTGAAGTATGTTTCCCAAAGATCCATAAATTTGGTGACTTTACAGTCCAGTTAGTTTTTCATTCTCATTACCATGCACATACAAAAGAAAAGATAAACCTAAATATTGATTTTGAGAAAAATGGCTAGTATACATTTCACAGCAAATTTGACCTGATGATAGCTCACATTTTAACTGACATTGATGCTCCTAATTAATACTAAGACTCCTACTCTGAAGCATTAGCTGCTGGCAAATGTTTGATTTTCAATAACATACTTTTGCATGATCTGCCATCACTTCCCAAGTTGAAGCCAGTCCTGCAGCGACAGGTCCGTGTTTTGTAACTGCTGCTGAGCAGACAGATGTGTGAACATCCCCCTGGCATTCCATATGGATCCACTTCACACGCATGGCTTCTGACTACAACAAATGAAAAACAGCATGCTTGAAATTCTCCAAAGGAGAGATAATTACATGCATCAGTATGTTGAAACTTTGACAGCACAGAAGAGGGAATTCTAGAAAAAATCTATCCACCCAACTATATCATATCATAATCAATTGAAAAAGCATTTAAACCCCATGGAAGGTAGGAATTTGCCCAAATACTCCTAAAAAAAAAATTATAAGAGGTAAAATGCTTTTATATTAATCTAACCTGTGAACATGCAAACCAAATAAAATTAACATGATTTTTTGGTACATGTTTATCATACTTAAAAAAAAAAAAATACACTTCTGTGACAAATACAAAAAAATACTGCAAAAATATCCCAGGTTGGTAGTTAAAGCAGAAAAGGATTTCTTCTGAAATAATCTACAATTAATATCAGTTCAATTCAGTCACTAAGTTGTGTCTGACTCTTTGCAAGCCCATGTACTATAGCACACCAGGCTTCGCTGTCCATCACCAACTCCTGGAGCTTGCTTAAACTCATGTTCATTGAGTCAGTGATTCCATTCAACCATCTCATCCTCTGTGATCCCCTTCTCCTCCTGCCTTCAATCTTTCCCAGTATCAGGGTCTTTTCAAATGAGTCAGTTCTTTGCATCAGGTGGCCAAAGTATTGGATTTTCAGCATCAGCATCAGTCCTTCCAATGAATATTCAGGACTGATATCCTTTAGGATAGACTGGTTTGATATCCTTGCAGTCCAAGAGACTCTCAAGTGTCTTCAACAAAACAGTGCAAAAGAATCAATTCTTCAGTGCTCAGCTTTCTTTATGGTCCAACTCTCACATCCATACATGACTACTGGAAAAACCATAGCTTTGACTAGATGGACCCTTATCAGCAAAGTAATGTCTCTGCTTTTTAATATGCTATCTATATTTGTCATAGCTTTTCTTTGAACGAGCAAGTGTCTTTTAATTTCACAGCTGCTGTAACCATCTGCCATGATTTTGGAACACAAAAAAATAGTCTCTTACTGTTTCTATTGTTTCCCCATCTGTTTGCCATTAAGTGATGGGACCAGATGCCATGATCTTGGTCTTTTGAATGTTGAGTTTTAAGCCAACTTTTTCACTCTCCTCTTTCACTTTCAAGAGGATCTTCAGTTCCTCTTCACTTTCTGCTGTAAGGGTGGTGTCATCTGTGTATCTGAGGTTATTAAAATTTCTCCCAGCAATCTTGATTCCAGCTTGTGCTTCATCCAGTCCTGTATTTCGTATGATGTACTTTACATAGAAGTTAAATAAGTAGGGTGCCAATATACAGCTTTGATGTACTCCTTACAGTTCTGTTACTTCTTGACATGCATACAGATTTCTCAGGAGGCAGGTCAGGTGGTCTAATATTCCCATCTCTTTAAAAAATGTCCATAGTTTGTTGTGGAAACTGATTTCAGTATTCTTGCCTGCAAAATCCCATGGACAGAGGAGCCTGGTGGGCTCTAGTCCGTGGGATCACAAAGAGTTGGGCATGACTGAATGACTAAACATATAAGCACACTAAACTAGAATAAATGTGATTCCATGATCACCTTTATTGAGAAGTGCTGAATTTATTTTTATTTTTTTTCAATTTTGTGTTCATTGTCATTTGGAGAACCCTTTCACACATGAATTGTGTGTGTGTGTGTGCATTGTAACTGCTAAAAGAGGAGGTTGAGTTTTCATGTAGGTATTATGGAATAGTAGGATGTTTCATGAGTGTAGAAATTGGAGAAAAACAAAACAAAACAAAATAGGAAAAGCACTAGGTGGAGAAGATGAGAAAAAGAAACATAGGTCGAAGAGAAAAGGAATACAATCAGTAAGATTTTTATATGATTGTAAGTACATTTCTTTTTAATCACCACTTGGAATTGTGATGAATAATATGATAATTTTCTTTTAATATTAAAACTTATGTGCTTTTGAAAACTATGCTATGCTTATGTTCCACAGTCTTTAAATGAAAAGATAGCTGGAGTATAGTTTAACTATCTGTTTTGCCCAAAAGCACTGCTTTTATTTTCCAGTCTCACCCGATTTCTACAGTAAAGCACATCTTTTTTCAGCTAATTAGCAAGTCTGCACTTTCTCACTTTCTTCACTACTTTTGCTCTCTCCCTTGGATCATTCCCATCAGCATATAAATGTGCCATTGCTTCTGCACCTTGGAGGGAAAATCCTACTTTTAATCTTAATTCTCCAAGCAATCCTTCAATCAGCTTCCCATTTCCCTGCTTCATCTAATATCAATACTTTTCAAAGTTATCCATGCTCACTTTCTACAATTTACTTCTTTCCTTTCTCAGATTCATTTTAACCAGACCTTCTCCTCACCACAAAATTGCTCTTGTCAGATCCCTATGAGCTTCACACTGTTAAATCCAATGGTCAATCTATAGTTATTTCCTTGGTGATCATATCCATTTTCCTTTCTTTAAAAGCAAAAATAAGTGTCATCTATATGCCAATGAGGCTCAATTGCTATGTCTAGCTAGGACTTTCCCCTGAAATCCAGTCTTGTATATTCAAATAGCTTCTTGATATCTCCTCCTGAATTTATGATAGGCATTCAAAGTAATATGTAAAAATATATATATTTCTTATTTGCACCCAATTTACTCCAAACTTAGTTTTCCTAAATCTCAAAAACAACTTGGTTATTCCAATTATGCAGCCCAACACACTGTCATCACTTTTGTCTCTTTTTTAAGTGTACAACTCATATCAAATTCATCAGGAAATCTCTTGGTTATATATTCAAATATATCCTCAGTCTACTTTTCACCACCTTCACTGCTACCATCTTGGTCCAATCCACCATCATCTCTAACCTTCCATCTTTGTTCCCCATAGCCTACTGTCAACAAAGTAACCCTACTGGTTTCTTTAAAAAGTAAGTCAGGTTATGAGACTCCTCTACCTAAGGCTTCCTAAGGACTATCCATGTCATGCAAAGTATAAGCAAACTTTTTTATAATTGTCTGCAGGGCCCTACTGGTTATTGTTCTCCTTCATTTCTCCAACTTAATTGCCTGCTTCTCTTCCTCATGTTTGCTCTGCTCCAGACATGTAGGTCTCCTTACTGCTCACTGAACAATTGAAGCATGCTCTTCCTCACTGAAGCTCCAATGCTTTGGTTACTTGATGTGAAGAACTGACTCTCTAGAAAAGACCCGAACTGGGAAAGATAGACAGGAGGAGGAGAAGGGGCCCACAGAGGATAAGATGGTTGGATGGCATCACCGACTTGATGGATGTGAATTTAAGCAAGCTCCAGGAGTTGGTGATGGGCAGGGAAGCCTGGGGTGCTGCAACTTATGGGGTCACAAAGAGTTGGACAAAACTGAGCTGACTGATCTTTCTACCTGTCTCTCTCCTTTAATTACTTCAAGTCTTCATGTAGTTTTATCTTTCAGTGAAATTTCCTCTGACCATTAAATATAAAATTGTAAACTAATCCTATTCATGACACTCATCTACTTTATCTCTCTCCATAGCACTTATTATCTCCTAATAATTTACTTACTTTAAAAGAAAAACATTGTGTATTTTTTTTTTTTTACAACAGTGCAAATCTTATAAAGGAGATAATGTTTTAGTCTGTTTTACTCAGCTGTATTCTCAATGTACATAGAATAGTTCCTGGAACATACTATTAATAAATGATCAAAAAGTAATTGGTAAATTAATAAGACCAAATTTAAACCTCTAAAAAGGTTATCTACAGAATCCCAAGTCTGAATTTCCTGTAAACATACGTGTAACAATACTTTGCCTAAACTTAATTTGTGTTAATAGATAAATAATTCTAAATTAGTTTTAACTTGAAGCACAAAAAAATAATGAAAATTTGGGTGGTAGTTTTGTATGTTACATTATTCTCTACATAATTGAGCCTACATTTTATTGATGAACAAGCATCATTAACCTACAATGCAAAATAATTTTTGAGGGATACTTAGCAATGTTGCAGCCTTCTTGGTAAAAATTATTTTTAATTAACATGTGTTAAGGAATGTTTGGGAAGTTAAGTCAAGAGACCCACAAGTGACTGCAATAAAAACTAGACAGATACTGCAAGAAAGTCACCTGATTTGAAGTTTGTCTCCTAGAATGATATACAAAAAAAAACCCCAAAAAACCTCTAGCATCTCAGCATCTGAGTTTTCTGTGTACATACATCAAGAGTGAAAGTTCCTTCTTGAATTTAAATTTAGCCATCATTTCAATTCTATGGCTATAGAAATGATCCACTAGGAACTGAACAATTTGTCATTTAGACTTTGGAAGGGAGCTCTATTCTATTTTATCATGCAGACATGTACATTTTTGCTATCAAAACAGAGAATTTATGGCTCACCCACTTTGACACCACACAAAGGCACAGGAGTCATATCCCCATTCAATTCACCATTATGAAGGCTATGAAGAAATCTTGGAATCTTACCTGTTGGTTGAGTCCTTTTTTGATAGATTCGGATTCCTCTAGCATTTTCCATTTTAATTAATGAATGAATATCACTACCATTAAATCGGTTTATCCGTATGATGTTGAAGTTATCAGAATCAGTTGCATATAAGTAGTCTTCAAACACAGTTATACCATACAGATGTTTGACCTATAAAAATGTGCAAATATAACTATGATTTTTTGATTATGTTGCTTTCAATTTGAAAGAAAAAAAAATTGCTTTTACTACTGTGGAAAACCCCCATAGTAGGAGAGTCATGAGCATATTATCATTTATTTTCTCTCAAAGAATTCAACATTTCACTAATATAAAATTTTTCTATAAAAATATACATTACGCTGTAGTAGTTAAAACAGTTTCAAATGTATGGGAGAGAACTGTATTCATGATTCATTCAGTTGACTTCTGTTGCTCAGTCCTTTGCGATCCCATGGACCGCAGCACACCAGGCTTCTCTGTCCATCACCAACTCCCGGAGCTTGCTCAAACTCATGTCCATTGAGCTGGTGATGCCATCTAACCATCTCATCCTCTGCCATCCCCTTCTCCTCCTGCCTTCAATCTTACCAAGCATCAGGGTCTCTTCAAATGAGTCAGTTCTTTGCATCAGGTGGCAAAATATTGGAGTTTTAGCTTCAACATCAGTCCTTCGAATGAATACTCAGGACTGATCTCCTTTAGGATGGACTGGTTGGATCTCCTTGCAGTCCAAGGGGCTGTTGAGGGTCTTTTCCAGCACCATAGTTCAAAAGCATCAATTCTTTGGAAGTGAGCTTTCTTTAGAATCCAACTCTCACATCGATACGTGGCTACTGAAAAAACCACAGCTTTGACTAGATAGACATTTTTGGCAAAGTAACGTCTCTGCTTTTTAATATGCTGTCGAGGTTGACCATAACTTTTCTTCCAAGGAGTAAGCATTTTTTAATTTCATGGCTGTAGTCTACATCTGCAGTGATTTTGGAGCCCTAAAAATAAAGTCTCTCACTGTTTCCATTGTTTCCCCATCTATTTGCCAGGAAGTGATGGGATCAGATGTCATGATCTTAGTTTTCTGAATGTTGAGTTTCAAACCAACTTTTTACTCTCCTCTTTTACTTTCATCAAGAGGCTCTTTAGTTCTTCTTCACTTTCTGCCATAAGCATTGTGTTATCTGCATACTGAGGTTATTGACATTTCTCCCGACAATCTTGATTCCAGCTTGTGCTTCATCCACTCTGCATATAAGTTAAATAAGCAGGGTGACAACATACAGCCTTGATGTACTCCTTTCCCGATTTGGAACCAGTCTGTTGTTCCATGTCCAGTTCTAACTGTTGCTTCCTGACCTGCATACAGATTTCTCAGGAGGCAGGTCAGGTGGTCTGGTATTCCCAACTCTTGAAGAATTTTCCACAGTCTGTTGTAATCCACATGGTCAAAGGCTCTGGCATACTCAAAAAAGCAGAAATTGATGTTTTTCTAGAACTCTCTTGCTTTTTTGATGATCCAACAGATGTTGGAAATTTGATCTCTGGTTCCTCTGCCTTTTCTAAAACCAGCTTGAACATCTGGAAGTTTATGGTTCACATTCTGTGGAAGCCTGGCTTGGAGGGTTTTGAGCATTACTTTGCTAGCATGTGAGATGAGTGCCATTGTGCAGTAGTTTGAGCATTCTTTGGCATTGCCTTTCTTTGGGATTGGAATGAAAACACCTTTTCCAGTCCTGTGGCCACTGCTGAGTTTTACAAATTTGCTGGCATATTGAATGAAGCACTTTCATCTTTTAGGGTTTGAAATAGCTCATCTGGAATTCCATCACCTCTACCAGCTTTGTTCATAGTGATACTTCCTAAGGCCCACTTGACTTCATATTCTAGGATGTCTGGCTCTAGGTGAATGATCATACCATCATAATTATCTGGGTCATGAAGCTCTCTTTTGTATAGCTCTTCTGTGTATTCTTGCCACCTCTTCTTAATATCTTCTGCTTCTGTTAGGTCCATGACATTTCTGTCCTTTATTGTGCCCATCTTTGCATGAAATGTTTCCTTGGTATCTTTAATTTTCTTGAAGAGATCTCTAGTCTTTCCCATTCTATTGTTTTATTTCTTTGCATTGACCTCTTAGGAAGGCTTTCTTATCTCTCCTTGCTATTCTTTAGAAAGTGAAAGTGAAGTCTCTTAGTCCTGTTCGACTCTTTGCGACCCCGTGAACTGTAGCCCACCAGGCTCCTCCATCCATGGGATTCTCCAGGCAAGAATACTGGAGTGGGTTGCCATTTCCTTATCCATGGGATCTTCCCGACCCAGGAATCAAACCCAGGTCTCCCACATTGTAGGCAGATGCTTTAACCACTGAGCCACCAGGGAAGCCCCAATTCTTTAGAACTTGCATTCAAATGGGTTTATCTTTCCTCTTCTTCTTTGCCTTCCACTTCTCTTCTTTTCACAGTTGTATGTAAGACCTCCTCTGACAACCATTTTGCCTTTTTGCATTCCTTTTTCTTGGGGGTGGTATTGATCAGTGTCTCCTGTACAATGTCATGAACCTCTGTCCACAGTTCTTCAGGCACTCTGCCTATCAGATCTAATCCCTTGAATCTATTTGCCACTTACACTGTATAACTGTAAAGGATTTTATTTAGGTCATACCTGAATGGTCTAGGTTTTTTTGTTTTTTTTTTTTCCTCTCTACTTTCTTCAATTTAAGTCTGGCAATGAGGAGTTCATGATCTGAGCCACAGTCAGCTCCCGGTCTGATTTTTTCTGACTGTATAGAGCTTCTCCATCTTTGGCTTCAAGGAATACAATCAACCTGATTTTGGTATTGAGTATCTGGTGATGTCCATGTGTATCATCTTCTCTTGTGTTGTTGAAGAGGTTGTTTGCTATGACCAGGGTATTCTCTTTTCAAAACTCTTATTAACCCTTCTGCTACTTCATTCCATACTCCAAGGCCAAATTTGCCTGTTACTCGAGGTGTTCCTTGACTTCCTACTTTTGCATTCCAGTTCTCTATAATGAAAAGTACATCTTTTGGGGGTATTAGTTTTAGAAGGTCTTGTAGGTCTTACAGAACCATTAACTTCAGCTTCTTCAGCCCATCAACAAAAATTGGATTAAAGATTTACTGAGCATGGCCCCACCCATCAGAACAAGACCCAGTTTCCCCCTCAGTCAGTTTCTCCCATCAGAAAGCTTCCATAAGCCTCTTATATTTATCCATCAGAGGGCAGACAGAATGAAAAACCACAATCACAGAAAACTAACCAAGCTGATCACATGGACCACAGCCTTCTTTAACTCAGTGAAACTATGAGCCATGCTGTGTAGGGCCACCCAAGATGTTGGGTCATGGTGGAGAGTTCTGACAGAATGTGGTCCCCTGGAGAAGGGAATGGCAAACCACTTCAGTATTCTTGCCTTAAGAACCCCATGTTTCATGAAGAAAATATATTCAGTAGCTACTTTTCAAAGTACTCTTGCCTGGAAAATCCCATGGACTTTTCAAAGGCTAGTGAGAATCAAACTGTCAAGCATATTCAATAATATGCTTATGGCACTGTTACATAGAATTTGAGATATTTTTATGGGCCACTTATTTATATAATCATGGATATACAGAATCTATAAAATCCTTTTTTGCCTATGAAAGGACTGATTAGAAAGCACCTTTGAAAATGCCATTGAAAGAAAATAAAGTACACGTTACATTACTATTCCCAGCAAGGAAATTAATAAGCAATGAAATCACATATTTGGAATAATTATATGTCAGCAATCTCTACTCAGAAATTGCATTCTTTCTAAATCCTATTTATAATGAACATGAAACTCTGTGATATGAGAGTAACAGTGTTTACTGTTCTCACAACACTTCACAGTTAATAGCATAACTTTCTACTTGGCAGATTTCTTAGGGATTATGGGTAAGAATAGACTTCTTGAACTGATGGAAAGCTTCCAGTAAAGCAAAGGAAGAATGAGTATACTGATTTTCTCATACAACAGGGCACATGCTAGGTGCAAGGCCTTTGGGCATTCCTTGTATTATACTTAATTTAAAATGGTTCTGGACCAGGGTATGGTAGACCTGTCAAATGATTTGCTGTAGAGATTTTGATGAAAAAGAAGCATTTGTCACTATTCTTTGCCATTATATTGCACTTTTAGTCCACTTTTTAGTATAGATTTTTAGTTAAGAGAATTTGAGAAGTTATCCATGATTTGTTATTGAAAAAAAATTATAGAACAAAATCACAAACATTTGTACTTAGGAAATCTTGCCAGTTCATCTAATTTGCTATCTTCCTAGCTTACATGACTCTTCATTATAATTTCTGATCGTCTCATGTAAGATGTTGACTAAAAGAAGACTGGTTTTTCATATTGCTTTTGGACATATTTCAATTCTTCATGTCTAGGCAACAAATGAAAGAAAACGAATTAAGGGGGAGAATCATTCTACGTTAAAACTTCAGTAATCACTTTTTATGTTAGTATTAGTCCCCAGTAAGTGTCATATGAGGGCTTCCCTCATAGCTCAGTTGGTAAATCATCTACCTGCAATGCAGTCAACCCAGGTTTGATCCTTGGGTCTGGAAGATCCCCTGGAGAAGGAAATGGCAACCCACTCCAGTATTCTTGCCTGGAGAATCCCATGGACAGAGAAGAGCCTGGCGGGCTATAGTCCATGGGGTCGCAAGAGTTGGAAACGACTTAGCTACTAAACCAAGTGTCATAAAGGAAGGAATGTGTGTATTTATCAATAATATTTTTCTGCATAACTGACATCATATTCACTACATAAATATATGTGTGTGTGTGTGTGTGTGTGTGTGTATTCCAAGTTTTATTTTGGGCAATACTTTTTTCCTATAAACATTATAAGCAAGCTAAAGTCTTCCATTAATTTCCATTTATTTTATGCATGCTTTACTCTAAGTGTGGGACCAGCCATCTGGAAGCGTGAGGCCATGGCATATCCACATTACTGTCTACTTCTACTTAGCTGCCAATCCACAGTCCAGGAGAGAAAACATGACTATAGAGGTGGCAATTGATGAGGGTAGAAAACATGTTCATATGATAAAGATCAAATTTTACTCTGTGCCTCCCTTCTTGCCTTCAGAAGGATTTATTTACAATCAAGTACCTACAGCGTTATTCTGTGTACTATCCCCAACAGAGGTGGGAGGAACTTGGTGTGGTATACAGGCCATTCTGATTACAGGGAAAATTCTTACAAAATTTTATCTATGTTGGAATACTTAGTAGCAGACTAAACATATGTTTAGGGAACCAGAAAAAACACAGGCAATAGAAATGGAGGAAAAGGGGATAATTAAAAATTTCAGACATTAAAAAAAGAAAAAAACTTTTAAAAGTAGCCATGGGGAAGATCATTTGAATTCCTCATCCTGTTTGAAGGTGTGAAATTTCAGTTACATATACACCAAAGAAGGTACATCATAATCATTTCAGAGACTAGGTGCTCTAAACTGAAGTCACTCAGTTGTGTCCAACTCTTTGTGACCCCATGGACACCAGGCTCCTCTGTCCATGGGATTTTCTAGGCAAGAATACTGGAGTGGGTTGCCATTTCCTTCTCCAAGGTCATAACTAAAGATGGCCAAAGAAATCAAGATTTTGAGGGTAGTCGAAGGTGAGAGAAAAATAAGTGGGCTCACTTCAAATATTGGACACTATTTTTTAGACACCCAGATCAGATTAGTGCATTTGTTTATCTGCCAAGGAAGTGAAAATATTTCATTGTTAAATGCTGATTATAAAGGAAAAGTAACTTTAAATGAAAATTACATAGTATTTGTACCTTGTGTTATAGAAGAAAGCAAAGAAAGCCACTTACTGCAGTTCTATAGAATGAGATTTCACATGAAATTAGTAAGATCAGTGAGAAAAAATTGAATTTCAAAAGCATTCTAGTGAATAAGACATCTCCACTTAGAGAACTTCTTCAATTGTTAACTGAATGCTATTTACAAAAACTTGTAATTTAGCAAGGGAAAAAAAACACAGATGAGAAAAATTTTGACCTTGGTGCCTTTCACAAAATTCTTATTTTGGGAAGTAAATACTTAAACACTTGAGATGGCAAAATATAATCCAACATATTAAAATAATAATAACACTTCTTTTTATATATCTTCAGTGCCACATAGGACAAATGATAGTTCAGGCTTTTACAAATGAAATGCTTAAAATAGTTTTTAGTAAGTAGGTCATAACATCTGTCCTACTCTAATACTTTTCTTTCTTACTAGTGTAGAATTTCTGGTTGCATTTGCTGTTTTTGATTTATTTCTGCTGGTTTTTGTTTTGTGTACTGTTTTTTCATTTTTTTTTTAAATTGAGGGAAGGAGGGAGAGCAAGTCCTCTGCCATCATGTATTATGGATTACACTATGAAAGGAACATTCTCCTATATAGCAAACACATCACAATTTTTATGACCCACTGCAGCTTGACTTCATAAGAAATTTTCAACACTGCAATTTTCAGTCTTCTTCCTAGTATGAGATCATTCATTTTATTACCTTAGCTGCATTTTCCAACCAAACTGTACTTACTTGTCTGCCTTGGATGATAGTATGTCTGTTTTTTCCTTGATAGTCCACTACTTCCACAGAGTCCAAGTAAAGATCTACCCAGTAAACCCATTTGTTGACTAGGTCTAGTGCCAGAGCAGCTGGCTGCTCTGTCTTGGAATCAATTATCCTTGTTCTGTTCATCCCATCCATGTCACATCGCTCCACTTTGGCCACATTCCCATAGTCGGTAAAGAAAAGTTTTCTGTTGAAAGAAAACTAAATGTTAAAGTGGAAGGGTGGTGGCAGCATATTCAATAGAACCATCTGTAAAACACAGAACTTTTCCTCCTAATTTATTTCAGTGGTTACATCTGTTAGCTTCCCATAACCATTTCTATATAATATCACTCATAAACAAGGAAATCTGCTAATGAATATTGCAGGGCATAAGGGAGTAGGTTAACTAACAACTGTAAAATTTCCCCAAAACGAATGATTATGGAGGGTTTATTTTTGTATTAGGGGAAATGTTTCTTTAAGCTTCATAGAGCTGGTACACATATACCACAGGAGATCTGTATAGCCCATTTGGAATAAGCTTCAAAAGTGAGCCAAGTAACCAGGCCAGGGCATGTGAGCTATCAGGCTTTATCTTCAACCTGCTTTTCAAATTGCCTGCTAATGTCTGTTTCCTATAAAAGCTATTATGTGGAGCTCAATGATGCTATGAGTAGTAGAATATAGCAAACCTACAATGGAATTAAGCAGATGGAAAAGCAAATGTGCCATTCATAGCAATGAAAATAAATAATCACCCCCAAACCAATCCCAAATTCTCCCAAATATCCCCAACTGACAAAATTTAATAAAGATAATGCAGGTCATTTCCTTTCATTTTCTCTTTATATATATTTAAAGAAAAGGCTGAAAAGCAATGTTGATTTCTGAGACAAGAAATCCTTCTATGAAGTGCTAACAGCATATGTCAAAGGTTTAAATACCTCCAACACATCAGTGTCTAATATTTGATTAGTATTCACTATGTTTGGTAAACAGAAATCAATTTCAATTAACCTGACAATATTTTAACATGATTATCTACTCATAAGAGTAAATTATGTTCGTAAATGGAGGACCATCTTGCCTTCATTTAAAAACCATCTCCAGAATAATCTTATTTCCAGTGACTGAGCAATATTAAGATTACCTAGAGTATAGAATATTCGATTTTGCAAACTTGGTGAATTAGTTTTTAGTTACCTGTCTCAACACTGTTGCATCATCTCACAGTATGGGGTATCTTTCAATACTAAGGAATATTATTTAGGCTTTAATTTAGCTCTTTTGCTATGGGAAGCTGTGACTAATTTTTAAACATTAATGCATGTGTAGTGTGAGCCAGATTTTATTATGAGTATTATGAGTATATATTCCCCCAAATATTTTGAAAGATCAATTTATCACAATAATTTAAAAAATAAGTTTCACCCTAATTTCTCCTGGGGTAGGGGGGAAACTATCACAATAAGTTAAAAAATGTTTTTCAAGTGACATTCCATTCAGGTGAAGAGATTTCTATTCCAGTGAAGAAGAAATAAAGGGGCATATGGTACATTTTATTGTCATGCTAAATACTCAAACTTCTACTTCTATGATAGCTCACTAGTTACCTTCCTTCCTCCCTCTCTCTCATCTTTACCACAATGTCTTCCTGCTTCCACCTTTCATTTTCTCTTTCTTCACTTCTTAATCAATTTGTTCATGGTCATCTCAAGTTAAGTTACTATTAAGATTACCAGTTTACCTCTTTCTTACTATAGAATACTGTCCACTGTTCTCATCATAAAAACTTTCTTTCTCACCTCTTACCAAAATGCCTGTCCTTTTACAGTTTTCTTTTCTAACTGGTCCATTTCACAGACCAGATAGACACTGATGTGCAGGTAGGTCAGCTTTGGCACAGAGAGTTGGAGCCTCTGGCCCACTGTGTTTAGCATGTTGTATATAGACTATGTATAGTGACATGAAGAAGGGGGTTCCAACTATCTACATGAAGCTGAATAGGAAAGATGAGTCTCGAGATTAGAACTTCTCTCAAGTCACCCTGAGGTGACTTAATTAGATGTGACCCTAAAAAGACAAAAAGAGAAGAGTGCCAAGATAAGAAGCCTGGAGGCATATTTTTGAAGAAAGAAGACCAAATAAGATTAGAGGTTATGATCAAAGACACAGACTCTTATAGAGGCCTAAGGGAGAAAAGTTCCCTGATAAAGAATTGGAGTGGCTGTCTGGGTCAGTCACTTCACAAAACAAAAAAAGATTAAAAAAAAAAAAAAAGAATACAAATCAAGAAGATGTCACTGAGTTTGGTATTTGTTAGAATACTAGTGATTTTTGGTATTTCTGTCTGAAAAAAAAGTTTAGTTATAGAGGAAAAGTGAACCTGATGATAATAAAGGAGGTTGGGAAAATGTAAATAATTTGTCCAAGAAGATTTTCAGTGATACTAACCTATTATTGCAGGGATGATTCAAGTGATTCTTATCTTAATGGCAGGACATAATAAAACTGGTTGAAGCAACTCTGAATAAGCTTAAGAAAAGTATGAAAGAAAATTATAAATATATGATTCATCAAAATTTTGCTGTCTTAATGAAAATGTAAAACCAAAAGAACAGGAGGACTTTGGGTATGTGAAATAGCATTGAGTTAGAAGAAACAGTGAAGAATTTGTCATTGTACTTCCAGCCCAAAGCAGAACAGTGCTGAGTGGTGATATAAAAGAAGGTCTTTCCATCAAATTAAACTTCCCCAGATTTGAGAATACTGACTATGATAAGCTCAGTTCACTTATAATTGAAATGCAAGAATTGAAAGTGTTCTCCAGGATAGCAGCACTAAGAATATAAATCTGCAAGCAATAATATCCATAGTCACATGATTATGACTATCATTATGACTGTAGATGTTTCTTTACTTATTTTAATATAGTTTAATTTTAGTTTAAAATTATCTCCTACTGTTACAGAGAAAAGATTCATTCCCAGGGTATTGTTTAATTGATGTATGACTATTATAAACAGAAGCTATAGTTTTAATTGTCTGAAACATAACTAAATTTCATTCATCATTAAGTATAGCTAGGGTTTGATAAAATCACTCTTTTCTTTCTTACAAAGAATAAATACCATTATCTCACTGATCTTAATAAATGTTTGTGAGATAGAAAGGTCAGGTTATTTCTATTTTACAGATGAAATAGATTCCCAGTCCACATGGACAGCTTGTCAGAGCCATAACACACATATTTGTCTTGCCTTTTGTTTTTAATGCATTATTTTGAAGTAATTTCAAACTTACAGAAAAATTGTAAGGATTGTAGAATAAATGTGTATACCTTTCACCTAGATTCACCAGTTTTTGAACTTTTGTTCCTCTGGACATTTTGAGTACCATCTGAACCATTTGACACTAAATTGCAGAAATGATGACCCTCTTCCACTAAGATTTTAGTGTACATCTCCTAAGTACTAGGACATTCTCTTTTGTAAACATAGTACATCTAACAATATTGATGCTTTTAATACTGCTACAATATGTAGATTTTATTCAAATATAGCCTGTTGAGTAATAATGTTCTATCCAGCAAAAATTCCTTTTTTTCTATAATTTAGAATCCAATCCAAAATCATGTATTTCACTTAATTGTCTTTTCTCTCTAGACTCCTTTAATTTTGAATAATTATTTAGTCTTGCATTGCTTTCTGTTATTTCTAAAGTGTAAACATGAGTTATTTTGAAGAATATCTCTATTGAATTTGTTACAATATTGCATCTGTTTTATGTTTTGGTTTTTTGGCTATAATGCATGTGGGGATCTTAGCCCCTCAACCAGGGATCCAACACACATCCCCTGCATTGGAAAGCAAAGTTTTAGCCACTGGACCAGCACATAAATCTCCAATATCCCTATCTTGAGTTTGCCTAATTTTTCTCATAATTAGATTACTTTATGCTTTTTGAACTGAAATGTAATTGCTTTACACGTTATTATTTATGCCTTTGGGTTTAGAAACCAATGGTAAGCCTATGCTCTAGTCAAGAAATTCCCTAAAATGAAGCACAGATGGTGGTTTGAAATCTCCTTTATCCTATCTTATTCAGTGTTTCCTGAACACTTAACTCTTAATTTCCAGGGTTTTCAGTCATCCTTTCAGCATCTCCTCTCACAAAAACCAAGCATCGTCTGCTGCTTCTAGTATAGTCAAGGAGCTGCCTGTGTAGCAGTCTGCATAGCAAACTCATGGTGGCTGGTGGAGACCGTTCCCAGATTTGTCCTGCACCCCATTCTCTCAGGATTACAATACTGACATTTCCTGTTGCCCTGTTCTTTCCTATAGAACAAATTATTTTTTTATTTTCTAGAAAGTAGAAGAAATTAAGTTGAGATTTCTATTTTCTAGTTCTTAACTTCCTTTTTGAATGCCATTCTATTCAATTCTCACTAACACAAAAATTAAAGTGAAACAACATCCCAACTACTGTCTCTAATGTATGCTCAACTATTAGTTCATAAAGGAAATGAAAATTTCTTTCAAACTTTTAATTATTCATCCAACTCCTTAATCGTAATTTGACAGCTAGAGTAAATAGGAGTTTGTCATATTGGCTTCCTTATCTCATTTCATATGGGAAACTGATTTTATCTGACATCCCTATTGATTACATGACTAGCCCTATCTTACTATAGACATATAAGTATTTTATACAATTGAGGATAGTAAGAAACTTTGAGTATTGTTGGTAAACTTGCCTGACATAAATCAAGTCAGAAAGGGAGCCCTGACCGACAGTGATGGAGCACTGTGCTTACAGAGTTATGGCCCCAATCATCCTCATGTTTTAAAGCAAAGCAATTGTTATACATGCTGATGTCTTAAAACATGTGCTTTTTTTTTCTTTAACTGATAAAAATAAGGCTTACTTTTCCAAGTGATATCTGCTTTAAGTGATTCTTCTGTATTTTTGTACTTTGTCCAAAATGACAAAAGGGAATTTAAACATACCAGAGTCCTATCTACATCATTTTTTAAAATAAAACTGCAACCTTTTCTTTTCTTTCTTTTTTTTCATTTATTTTTATTAGTTGGAGGCTAATTACTTTACAATATTTTAGTGGTTTTTGCCATACATCAACATGAATCAGCCATGGAGTTACATGTGTTCCCCATTCTGAACCCTCCTCCCACCTCCCTCCCCATCCCATCCCTCTGGGTCATCCCAGTGCACCAGCCCCAAGCACTTGTCTCATGCATCCAACCTGGACTGGCGATCTGTTTCACACTTGATAATATACATGTTTCGATGCTTTTCTCTCAGATCATCCCACCTTTGCCTTCTCCCACAGTGTCCAAAAGTCTGTTCTATACATCTGTGTCTCTTTTTCTGTCTTGCATATAGGGTTATCGTTACCATCTTTCTAAATTCCATATATATGCATTACTATACTATATTGGTGTTTATCTTTCTGGCTTATTTAACTCTGTATAACGGGCTCCAGTTTCATCCAACTGATTCAAATGAATTCTTTTTAATGGCTGAGTAATATTCCATGGTGTATATGTACGCCAGCTTCCTCATCCATTCGTCTGCTGATGGGCATCTAGGTTGCTTCCATGTCCTGGTTATCATAAATTGTGCGTTGCAACCTTGTCTTAAGTATTCATTCATTCATCTGGCTGTGTTCAATCTTAGTTGTGGCATGTGGAAACCAGTTCCCTGATCAGGGATCAAACTTGGGCACCCTGCATTGGGAGCACAGGGTCTTAGCCACTGGACCACCAGGGAAGTCCCCGTCTATATCCTTTAACTGTATAGTCAACTCTGGCTTTGTGTCATCATTCTTACTGCTAACATTTTGGTTATAGCTTAATGATGGAATTTAGAAATTTTCAGAGTTTAAACCTCACAATGTAATTATCTATTATTCCTTTAACTGTTTAAAAATGAGGTTATACAACAAGATTTTGGTTAAGAAATAAATAAGAAGAGAATGAGTCATAAAATTTGAAGGCCATATATTGCTAAATTAAAAAAAAAAATCATTGTTCTGATAAGGGCCTAGCACACTCTCCATGTTTTTAATCAGGTGTTAGAGAACTTCATATCTTCACATTTCAGGAAAAATATATACATTTTTCTTAACAGCAATTACATTAGAAACATCAGTTTTTTATCTTGTTTTAAAAATAACTATGTTATCCAAAAAGCATCAACATTAATATTTTATTTATCTTCCATTGCATTTACAGTAATTGAACAAGAAAGTGATTTTCTACATTATATGCAGCAATTAAAGCATACTCTAAATTAAAGTAAAAATATTAAATATTTAGCATTGTAATTCTAAAATGCAATTGTGAATATTAAAGAGTAATGAGTTTTCAGAGTAACAGGTTTAAATTCAATTTCCATTAGCTCCTGCTACTTAAGGGATGTAGAAGATAAATAAACTATTTTCTCTGTCTAGCCAAGATTGTTCAAGACAGTGATTTATTGATTTTTACTTGGTTGGGGTTTTTGTTTTCATTGTTTGAAAAATCTCTCTTGAATTTGGTTTTCAGTTCATACATAAACACACAGAAATTAAACTTGACATACAGGTTCCTGCTCTCAGCTGGCTATTCTATATTC